AGAGAGAGAGAGAGAGAGGAGAGGGCGGGGAAGGGGAAACTCGATATAGGAAACCCGATATTATAATTTTGCTAATATTGAAACAGCGCACATCCACATTTTACTAAAATTTATTATGTAATCGAGATCACGTAAAAGCGATTTTATATAAAATTCTATTTTCATACAAATAATTTTAAATCATCGCAAAATTCATAGAAATCCATGTAATAACGTGTATAATATTGAGAATAGAACAAAGTTTTTAATTGAATTTTTTTGATATGCGAATCCATTTTATTGTTTCTCATTCATAAGTCTCCTTTGCACCGCATCAACAGTTCATATCATAATTACCGTGACAGTATATGTAAATTTAATATCGCAGTATTTTCCGATAATAAAATTTATCATTGTTTCCTTATAATTTTACGATAACTGTTAAAAGCATGATTGTAAACCTTCGTATTAACTTAAAAATAATTATTGATCTTTTGAGCTATGATTTTACATTACTAGTCACTAGACTGCAAACTCTGAGAAGAGTATTACAAAATTGCATTTTGTTACAATTGAAGTAGATTATTGTCGAAAATATAACTTCATGAAAGAGGGATGATACAACCATGTTAACTATTACACGTAGGTGAACTCGTCGATATTCGTCGATATCTGATTGTATTTTCGCGCTTGTTGATCGGAACGGACTTCGATGAGCGTCGGCGTACTCGTCGGAAGCGACTCGGTTCATTTTTCAAATGCGAACTTCCCTCGCCCGATGACGCTCCGATTTCACCGGATGGCGGCCTCGACACGGCGACACGAGAGCACGTCGAACGTGACAAATCTGGCAATTAACTTCCGTAAGTGACGACGATTAATCGGCGGATTAATATCGGGTCCGATCGTCCGCGGGACGAAACTTACATTCGCGACAGAATATATCTCGCGAATCTCTGCGAATGATGGAAGTCGAGCGATTAGATTGTCGGATGCGCGAGCGAATTTGGAAGGCCCGATGATCCCACGAGACATCATCTAACATTCGAAAATCTAACTTTCGAGGTGGGATTTCGATTAATTTTGCGAAAACCTAACTGGACGCGGACCGTACGTACCGTTACATTGTATATAGAAAGAAGAAAAATCTGTTACCTCGTGTAATTAGTTGCCTGCGGTGATTCACGCGATTCTCTAATTACTATTTGTATTTTGTATGTATTGTAATGTGATAAATCAGAATTAAAGCATTGGTTACGCCGATGACCACCAATGGCATCTAAAGCATTGAAGGCATACAGCCTTGTAATTGACATGACCTTTTCAATTTTGCAAAAGCTGTCATGAAACAATGCGTGTTGAATAACATTTTATTGCCTTCTGCCTTAAAAATTAATTAATTTTCAGTTTTTCTACATTTTTTGCAATTTATTGGAATAATTTTCGAGCGATATCTGAATTCTTAGAAAATAATTTTTTTTTTAACAAAACTGAAAATGAACAAATTTTTTTTAACAAATTTAAGAAATCATAATAAATGATTACGAATCAATATATAAGTGTGTATATAAATTGTAAATAAATCGTCCAAGAACAAATATAAAATTATTTTTGATAAATATTTTAATAACAAAACAAATAATTTAATAAAAGTTTATTGAATTTATTTTAAAAATAGACGGAAGCATTCATATATTTAAATGGTAAAATTCCACTGAAAATGTAATTTTCATAAATATTTAATATTACGCAATATATATATATATATAGTATTGACAATTCTTATATATTATTTTGAAACTTGACGGTAACAGTAATAATAAATTACATAATATTACATTACAATATTAATATAATAACAATAACGTCAATTGTCGATAAAACAACGATTTGGGCGTAACAATCGGGAGCTAAGCACCGTTTATATTGCATATTGGTAAATCTACCACTGGTTAGGAAGCAATAACGGGGATGAAAGTGTG